AAAAAAAATAATTACACCATTCCAGGAGACTTAAAAACATTAAAAAAAAAAAAAATCAAAATCTGTGATCCAGGAATCTGTTTTCACATGCTCTCTAGCATGGCTACTCCTGACAGGTGTTCCTGGGACACTCTGAACAAAATGTTGAACAAAAATATATCTTTAACAGCTTCATCCTTGAAAAATCTGCTCTCTGCTGAGTCACTGTCAGAGAGACTGTCAGCAACATTCTGCAAGAAGCAGAACAAACACTAAGACAAGAGATTTCAGCTTGGTTTCGGGGTCCCAAAGTATTTAATGTTTCTAGCAGAAGAGGTTTCTCAGTTCAACACTTCATGCCTTTGATATCTGAATCACAGAATCAGTGTCACAGATGACAATCTGATATCCTATGCATGTTCCTTAGAGTCATACAGGAACCCAATCTCATTTGTGTTCAGTCATGAGGCCAAAAAGTTTCTTTTAAGACTTCAGTATACTAATATAGCAATTTTGGAAAATATTCTATTTAGCATCTTCGTCCAAAATCCCAGTTCTTCCTTGCAATAGAATTTCTCAGACATTTCTCAGATGGACTTCTGATAGCCCTGTAGGGAATTACATGTCCCGTTTTATTTTGTATTTTATTTCATTAAGTGCCCTTTCAAAAACCTTTATCTCTACTGCTGTGACCTCCTGCACATGCTCAGACCCTCCAGAAAATTTGCATATTGAAGTTTTTCATTAATTTACTTACTTCTTTATTATTTACAAGTTACTAGTTACAGACTTGAGAAGGTGGAGAAAGACTACCTGGCAACTGTGTCCATCACCTTTTTACTTAACTGTCAGTTCAGAGTTTTCTGTTGAGAATTGTTTTACCAGTTTCAAACCTTGCTCTTCTCAAGCTTGTTCTCCCCAGTACGGATGCTAAAGGTTTCAGGGTGAAACCTTAAAATATTTTACCAGCTTCTAGGCAGTGTAAATACGCAGACATGTTTATGAGACTGGAAGAACAGACCTCTGTGTAAGTAGGTGACATATCATCAGTTCAAGTGAGAAGGCTCAGCTATGGCAAGCAAGATTTTGGTGAGGGACAGCAACAGTTTGCATGCTTTTTCTGATGAACCAGGTGCTACCACCAATACTTCCCATTCTCTCACAATCACAAAAATTATTCTTACAATTTTGCCAGCTTCACTGTGCACAGAGTTCTTTGTTTTATTGGCAAAGACACACTGCCACTATCTGTATTCACAGATCCCAGCACAGATAATGGCCATGTTGTACCTAAAGTCAAATATCTGAATATAAAATTTCAGCAGTAAGTTCTCTGGTAAGATTTCATCATTTTCCTTTCAACTTTCTCAACCACTTTCTACTGATTAAAATTTGTAGACTTTTCCTAAACTAATTCTTTTTTTTCTTCACAGTTTTCATTCCTGATCATATCATTAGGTGCGTTCTACTTGGCTAAATTAATATTTCTTAAGTAAACTCATTTATTGAATATGCTATAAACCACCACTTTTTCAGCCATATTTGGGTTGGGAAGTACACCAACACACTATATAATCAAGTATCTCCTTAGTAAACAAAGTATTAAAGTCAGATAGATTGTAGGATTAGTGTTACTTCTGTTGGCCCATTATCTAAAGCACTACAAATATTGCATGTAGAAAATATAGTCTGGTCTTTTTAACATGAACTGACAGTTCCATCTGTGGCGGGGTGACCCTGATCAGCAACAGAGTCCCTCCACCAGCCACTCATTCGCTCCTCATCTCCAAATCTCCTCTTTGCCATTTCAAACAAGTCTAAGCACAGGAACAGTTTTTATTTGCCTTGGCCCAAAATGTCCCTCTATAGCAGGGAGTAAAGAAAATAGACTGCCATAACATCATTATGGTTCCAGTAGTCATGCCTCTCGAACAAGTAGTAATTTAATTTCAATCTGAAAATTCTGATTATTGATATTTTTCTTCTACTTATTTTCTTGAATCTTAATAGATTAATATAGCAATTTATGAATAATCTTTTTTTGGGAGAGTGGGTATGCAAAATTTGCCAATAAGATGTCATCTATGTACTAATCCGGAATTTTAATATTATGGTTAAGACTATGAAATTAATAAAATAATTGTTCCATCCTTTCGCAGTGTCAAGTTCTGTTTCTATTACTAAATAACAACAACAAAAAAAATCCATTATTTCCTGATAATAGTTGCACAGACTGAAAAATCCTGTCTTATCAGATGCTATATATGGTCATAAGACAGAAAAATACAAATACTTAATAGACTCATAAACAGACCCCTCAACCATGTAAGGAATATGTTTGGATATCAGAAACATAATATAAAAGGTCAATATAAATAAGTAAACTTACAATATCTGAGAGAGTAAAAAGATGACAAATACAAACAGATTCATTTTCATTTCCCTTTCACAGCTCTCTGATGGAAAAGTTGTTTTCTTGGTATACAGGAAAGCAGTGGACACAGCACTTTTATACCTACATCCTTTGAAAGTGTAACAATAAACAATGCTGAAAAATACCATATGTTTTAAATGGTCTCAGCCAAGTTGCTGAAGTAACACCTTGCTGAGATGACTGAAGTACCAGAAGGAAAACAATTCCATCTTTAACTGCAAAACATTTTAACAGAGAAGAACCTGATTTAAAAAAAAAAATTTTAAAAAAATTTAAAAACAATCTTAATTCCGTACTGTGCATACAAGAATTTCTTTTTGTGCATGTTTTCTGAAAAAACAGTAATAGTGATATTCAGTTAAAACCACCAGTCAGAGACAATTGCAAGCTACAAGCAAGAACCAGGAGTCAGAAGAGCCAAAAAATGAGACCACCCATGAGAGGGGTAGCACCACAAGGAAAATGCTTGTTCCTGATCTATAGGGGCAACGTGTCACAGCTATGTGACCAGTTATGTGTCCATTGAGCTCTGTCTGGTAGGCCTCTTTGGCACAACCCCTTGCAAAGTTTTATTTCAATTCTAGGATTTGTTGGGGGAATTTAGCTGCTCTTTTTACATTATGGTTCGTTTCTTACTAATAGCATGAGATAGGATGCTGTTGTGGGATTGCCTTCTAGTGAGCTAGCTGTTTTATGTCCTTTTCATCTGTAAGCTAAATCTTACATAAATTACTTGTATTACATAGCAAAAGTAATTGTGTATAAATTTTGATTGTTTTTTAATATTTACCAGAGCAAGTAAATTTTTTTATGGTAATAATATGTGTCCTCATCTCTGTTTGGCTTTCATCTGAGCAGAAAATGTCATTCTTTGCTTGTTAATTAAGTTCACCCAAACAGTTGTCAGAAACCTTTTTTGGTTTTAATACCCCCCTCCCCCCCCACCATCAAGTTTAAAAAGCCTTTCTAGAGGAGTGAACAGGAATCTGGGGTGGGGTAGTTCTGCCAGCTCTAATTATACAGAGCATTTCACAAAAAGCACTAAGAAATTTCTACTCAGTGAGGAAAAATCTGTTTTCAATTAGCAACAAATTTATGGTTAGAATTATGACAGTTCCGAGTTCATGGGCAGATTTTAAAAATCCCTGTGAGAGAAGTCAGGCTCTACTCCTGTGTGCTGCTACCCGTTGCCCACACAGGTATTACCAACCTCAAAGATGCCACAGCCAGTGTGCAGGAGCTGAATTCACATTCTCAAAGTAGTAACTCACATAGTACAGGACGATCAGAAGATGCTTACTCCAGGAACTATGAAAATGTGTCACTTTTCCATCCCACACAAGAAGCTAGATCTCAAAAAATTTCCTTTTGAAACTGTTATTAGTGCTTTTCTTCACAGAAGACAATGGTTTGGTCCCAAGCACAAAATGCTGTGATAGATTTTTGGTGAAGACTGCAGTGGGAAACCATTCCCATAGAAGAAGTGGCCAACAGTTTGCCTACATGCAATACCCAGGATTTTGACAAAGGATGTTAAAATCAAGATCAGAGGATTACAATATTGTCTCCTGGTTCACACCTGCACTATTATGAAGCCCAGTAACAGTAAAGAAAGTTATATAAGCCTCAGTAAAGAAACACACAGTCCATTCACTGTGAAGTACGATATTAAATATACAGCACATAACTTTTACTATCAATACAATGTGTTTAAACATTTATGTACTTGTCAATGCTTATATTTAAACTCCAAGAATAACAAAAAAAAAAAAAAACCAAACCCAAAAAAACAGCTGCTTGTCTTCATGCCACAATATATTCAGGAACAGTCATTTATTTTGTTCATAGCTGAACCATGCAGGTAATAACTTCAGTACAGAAGATACATAGGCTCTGAGATCCGCAGCTCTATCCATTTGAGACAATGATTGAGGTGAATTTTACTTTTCACCTTTTTGTTCTTATTCAGTGGAACAGTAGCTGAAAACCATTTATGCCAGCTAGCTGGTGTCACTGCTCCCAACTTTGATTATTACTTTCCAGACAGATATTCCTCATAGCCAAGAAAGCTCTAACAAAACTCTGTCCTTGTAGTGAAGTTAACTTTAAGTCAGTATTCTTTTTTTTTTTTTTCTCCCCCATGAATCAGCCAACTGCTTATAAAGACATTAGAAGTACCTTTCACATTTGGATTGAGGATGAAAAGAACCAAGGTTCCTTTTATAATCAGATTAAGCTCACAATGAAAATTATTCTTATACCTTACATCTTTAAACATGATCTTAAATAAAAAATTATTTATAGAAGACCTAACAGCAGAACTGGAATCAACTCTTTTGCTTGATATTATCTATTTGAATATAAACATCAGCCTAACTAAAAAATGACTGTTGTCTGTAACACTCATTTCACAGAATCTCCTGTCAAAGATTATTTGGATGGGCTCTTCTGGTTTTTAATAACATATTCATATGTCAGCAAAACAACTGGCATTTTATTTAATAAATATTAAATAGGTGAGTTTTCACAGCTCTGTAAACGAGACTGTAAATAAGTATGTTCATCTTTGTGACTGAGTGGTACTTACATGCTTTGGAAAGTCAGCCTTCAGCTCAGCAATACTTTTACACCAATATGCTGCTGTTTTCTCACTGATCAGTTCAATGTTTAGAAAAGAGCCTTGACCTGGGCCATACAGAGGACCTGAGGTAATTCCACGCACAATTCTTGGAGAAACATTGGTCACAATATCCTGCAAAACAGTGAAACCTTTCAGCTTGGTTTTGCAAGTGAAGCATACAAGTATCAATGATGTCTGTGACGTAACATAAACTTAAACGTATCATTTAAAAATGTACTGTTATTATGAGTAAAAACTACAACTGTAGACCTGTTCTCTAAATTAGCATATTCTCTAATTAGATTCCCCATATCGGAGGAGAAAAGTGTTTGCTGCGTGTGTGAAATGGTATGATAACTATCAAGAAAATGCCAGCATAGGGCACCTAAAAACTTCCATCAAAAACCATAATTTAAATAATGCTTTTGTGTTGAGTATAGGCCATACAAGACTTTGTGTAAAAAACATGTAGGCCTCAGTGATGTAACTGTATACATGTGAATTATCCTCCCTAAAGATGATCAAAGTCTGTGTCCTATGCTAGCAGGTGAAGTGCAAAGAAGTCCTGCCCACCGGTCTCTCCAAAATTAAGCCATGATCACAGGTCCAGTCACCAGAAAAAATATACCAGTGTACCAGACTTCACAAGTTAAATAATATGACTTAAAGAGACCAAAATAAAATAAAATAAATAGTGAAAATTAAGACCAACATTGTAAAGTACGACATTTCTGAAGGTCAACATGAGGTTAGCAAACTATTTTGAAACATAAACACACAAAATATTGACTTGTTTAGTAGTTTTAATTAAGCTGCAATGTCACTGTATCCATATTAACAAAGAACTATAAATTCTGACATTATTTAAAACTAAAGAGAAACATAGATAGCAAAATGTTCCTTTTGCCAATTTCCAGTTAAAAATAATTGTGAGTAAAGGTCATTTATTTACAAATGTATCAGAATTATTTAAGTACCCCTCCTCACCATCTTGTCATTTTTAGTGAGATAACATGAACCTCCATTAGTATATAGCAATTAAGTCAATTTGCATATTTTAATTAAGAACCATCCCATATAAAACAATTAGGGTAATAGGCATACTAACTGGATTTCATAACATTTGGACGTTTTTCCAACTAGATAGACAGGAAACCTTAATTAGCATTAATTAGCACTGATCTGCATATGTTTGATAAGGCATACCCTTGCCACAAAAGATTATTTATTCCTGAATCTGCCAAATGCTGCAGTTACAGAGGATAAAGGGACTTTTCTTCACATTGTATGTAAATTTGAGGTAATCTTCATCTGCTTATGAAGTTGAATTAATTATTATACAGTAAATATGCACTAATATTTTATATTGATAGATAATTATATGTCCATTTACATATGTAAAAACCATACAAAGTAATCTCCCCAGTTCATTTATTTTCAGGCCTAATAAGTCTGGAACACGGACATCAGTGATGCCTATTTTTCTATTACAAAATTTTCCTTTCTTCACAAAAGCTTCACGTCCCTCTCAGCAGTTAAGATATATTTTCAGAAAAAAAATAATTCAGAACATTTATGCAAACCAAAGCCAATCACTGAAATACACTCCCCTCACCCCCAAAACGAATTACAAAAATTGCAGTTTGTGCAGAAAAACCATTTACATCAGTTTGCTCTGTATTATTCTCTTGAGTAACTAGCTCCCTGTGAACTGCCTCAGAGGAGCCTGTGCTTTGACTCCATCCCAGAAAGCTATTCACACACACAGGCCAGTGCTACCACATCCTCCAGCATGAGAAAACGTGCAAACTCAGTGATTTCAATCTGACTTTACTCCTGCAAGCACAGGGTGCACGTGGCCATTTGCCAACAGATACAAGTTACTTTGACTGTGCTGCAAGTGACCATGAGCTCCCATTTCCTCATGCTCCAATGCTAAGGAAGGTATAGCAGTATGGCACTAAGCCTGAGCTAACAGCCTGTCTGTTGTTAGGAATTATTATTTTTGGGTTCAGTGGTATGGTTTCCATTTTGTGGAAAAGGCTTGTGCACGTGTGTATGCCAGACAATGCTTGGAGCCACCTACAGTACTGTTTGTTATCTTACTAGCTGTGTTGTCTGTTGTTCTTCCTGCCTCTCTCATTTTACTACAGGAAAACTCAAATACTCAGGTATTACTGAGATATTACAGCCTAGGCTATACCACTTGCAGGACACTCACAAAGCCCCAGTCTGCTTCCATGCAAAAACAGTCCGCAGCTTTTGTATCTGCTTTGGGTCTCCTGGCAATCTCTCCCCTCTTCTAAGAACAAAGGCTCCTGGTTTAGACCCCGTCTCCAAGAGCTGAGACGTTGTCAACACCTGAGTGACAATTTCTCTGTCCAGGATCCCATGAAGTTGTGTCAGGTACTGCACAGACCTTGCAAACTGTCTCAGAAGCAGCCACTCTTCACTTTAGCGACCACAAGAGATACTCCTCTATCTTCCTTGAGATTTTGCAAGATCCCCTTTGGTGCTCAGGGACCTTCCCCTCCCATCCTGCCAGCACACAGCTGCTCCCTCAGATGGTGGCTTCCACAGCCTCCCTACTGCCTTTGTGTCACAGGACCCCTCTGCTGTGTCTGTGCATTGCTTTATCTTTCCTGACCAAGCTGCATCTGCTTCCAAATATGCTTCCCAGCTCTGAAATCCTGCTTGTTTTGTCTTGGTTCCTCCTGCGAAAGATGCACTGTCCTTATTTATGATCCCACTCCTCGTTTGCCTCTCCTAGCTCAGAGTAAGCTAGATGGAGAGAGTTTGTAATGACTGACACGCTGGCACCTCTCCTGTGTCTTGTTAGCACATGACAGCCCCCCACACAAGGAGACTCACAGTTCATGGAAAGAAAATGGAATTTATAACTTATGTGATGATTCAAGGAATCTGTCTGTGTACATACTGAACAAAATCACACAAGTGACAGAAACGAAAATTGTCGCTTTGAAATGAGTGTGAAAGACCCACACAGAACTTGCCTTACCATCATTTTCCTCTTCAGTCTCCTGCCACGTCTATGAAACTAAAGCTAAACATATGAAGCTAAACAGGGAGAGAGTCAAGCTAAGAATCTATTGGCTGGGCTTATCCACCTTCACATCCTTCAGTCTCAGGAGTGAATGTTACACGATATCACAGGTTCTTTCACCAAGATGGGCAATTCTGGTGGCTGACCAATTGTTACTGCTGTCTCCCAAACAGCAGGAAAGGTCAGAGCAGCTGAAATAGTGATAGTGCTCCAGCCCACAGAATTTATGAGAGACCATCTTCTGGCGCTTTAATTGAATACTGATTTTCCCTGTTGGTAGGAATTGTGCCACCAAATGCTGGCACTCATAATTCCTTTTTCTTTTCTGAAATCTCAGCTCTTCCTTTTATCCCAGCTACATACAGATCCTTATTACTACTGATAATAATTGTGTGCATAAAAAGCCACAATGGATTAGGAGCAAGGAGCCTGTCAGGAAGCACTTCAATGTTGGAACTTAAAAACATTTTTGATTCTAAAAAGCCGACTGCTACAGAGAGATGACGTGACTGATAAGATGGTTTGGTCCTCACATGAAGTTGAAAGCAGAGGTCAGTATAAAAATAGAAGAATGCCCCCAAACACCAGAATGAATCAAGTATTTTACACCCACATGTTGTGAACAATAAACAGTCCTTGGGAAGAACAGCACAAAGCTTTCATGTACTCTGAAGACCAAGAATAGAAGACTTTTAACAAAGACCTACCAAGGGAGAGCAAAGCTTACATCTGACCATACTAAAAGACAAAGCTATAGAAAAATTACTAAAAAAATAGTCATTGGCAGAGATAAACAGAATAGTCCATAGAAGTTTCATTTTTTTGTAAGAAAATCTTGCAAATTCTGAAATTCAGCAGCTGAAATATTCATGACTTGGGGAATGGGGAAACTGTATCCAGTACTAGATTACAGCAGAACAACAGGGTTTGGGGGAGTTAATGCAAAGAGAAACAGTAACAACAAATGGAATCAAGGGCCAACTGTGAGTCATGAATATTTCAGCTACTGAATTTCTTCTTTTGCCTCAAAAGCAGCTTCTTTTCCCCAGGAGAGCACAACAGAAACAATAATATCAATCCCCCAAATATGTCTAGCTCAGGACATCACCTAAAAAAGCGGTGCTGCATTGAAAAAAGCACCAATATCCTGCTGCTTTTGGGTTCCCCTTTTCTGCTTATGAAGAATTCTGGTATTCCGGTAACTTGAACCTGAATTAATTTGCATTACACATGTATTTCTGTTCCTGTTGGTTAATTACTTAACACGCTAAAAAAAAAAAAAAAATCCAAGGGATTGATCAGGCACCATTTTCTATAATAACGTTTTAACTCTGCAATGAGATCATTGAATCCTAAACTATTTAAGTCCCAACTAATGGGCTGGGAGGTTTGAGACAACATCTTGAAGAGAAAGCCCAAATACGTGGCATTTTTCACTCAGTTAAATTTAAATAAAGGTGCAAATCATTTCATCAGTCCATGCCTTACTGTTCACTTTAAAAGTTTTGCTTCACACTGTCCACATTTGCAGTTAATTGCCACAGATTTTTAGTAATGTAAATACACAACCATGATATTTAGGCAGAGAGAGAGAGACATTTATGTTTGGGCAGCAGGGACATTTTGAATTTTAAGGAACCCAAAAAGAGGTGTCCAACACAATGTTAGATCATTCAATAAGCACAATCATTGTGGTCTTCTCCTAAACTAATCAGCAGAGAAATAATTCACATTGTGAATATTAACATTGTCATCTGTTGGCGTGGAAGTTAATGACCTGTAGAAATTAATCAAGCTGTTCACCTTTCTCTCAGAGTTACTGTTTTAGGGGAGTCAAGAAGGCAGCTCTTCATTAACTGGGTTCACATTTTTATTTCATAATCACGTTTCCTAGAAAAAATAAGTTTGGAGAAAAATGTTGTGTAAAGAGGCCAGTTTAAGGAATTTATTAAATCTGTCTTCCAAAAGGTATACCACAGCCTCAAGCTTATTCAATTAATGTAGTTATATTAGGCAAATATAATAAAAGGAACCAAAAGGATAAACGTACAAGATTTTTCATATCAAA